TCTCTCTCTCTCTCGCTCTCTCACACACACACACACACACACACACACACACACACACACACACACACACATATGTACACAGACAATCTCTAGTAGAGCTTGTGCCTCCGTCCGGCTTACGCTCTCCGTTCTAGTTGCCTCTCCATCAGCCAGGGACGTTCTCCGGTCTATCTGTTTCTCAATCAGCCAGGGTGGGAGTAGAGAGGAAATGGAGATGCAGGAGTTGGAGGAGCGGGTGATTGTCCCCTCCATACCAACGGATCCCCACGTGCAATGGCTATCTAACGTGGACCAGGTAATGCTACGTATTATTATGATGACGGGTTACTATTACCCTGGGCCAGATGCAGCGAAGATGGTAGATGTAGATCGTCTAGCAACATCCCTATCGGAGACACTCACTCTGTATCCTGTCCTAGCGGGACGCTTGAGGATGAAAGACAACGGCGCACTTGAGGTCGAGTGTAATGACGCAGGAGCTCTTCTAGTGATGGCTATGGCGGACGGCAGGCTGGACGAACCCAGCAGCGGGCTTTCTTGCCATCCCCATCCCATCTCCCTTCCGATAGACTTAAGATGGGCCGCTTCAGCTCTGACCGCAAGTGCCAAAGAGCGGGAAGATCGTGTGGGGAGGACAATCAACAGGGGGGACTTCATATTTTTAGTAAAGGTGACAACTTTCCGATGTGGAGGGGTCAGCATCGTGTCCGCCTTTCATCACGCCGTAGCGGACGGGCGTGCCATGGCTGAGTTCATGAACTCGTGGGCGGAAACCATGCGGCGAGGGATCGAGTCCTCTCAGAAGGGACGCTGTTTGACTGACTCCCCCGCCAAGGTAAGTTTGCCTCCGATCCACGATCGCGCTCTTCTTAAGCCCCGCGCGCCGCCAAGAGTCCAGCGCCCTCCTACAGGCCTAATCCTTGCCCCGCCTTCAGCGGCCCCTCCACCTCCCCATCCCAGCATTGCCAAGCCGGTATCTGAAGGGGGGTTGCAATCGGGATTGGAGGCGGCGGCGCCCAAACGAGTCTCCAGTCCACCGGGGCTCCCTGACATGTCGATGCACTTGCGGTATTTCACCGAAGAAGAGTTGGCCGCTCTCAAACGGAGGGCAGAGGAGGACAGAAGGGGAATGACGTTCGAGCCATTGCACAGTGGTGAGGAGGTCATATTACACCTTTCATATCCTTCTCACCACCTCCTCCTCCTCCTCCAACCGCTCTTCCTTCTTCTCTCCTTACCCGGAGTCGCCTCCTTCTTCTCCACTGTCACCCGTTGACTTTTCCTTCTCCTCCCTTTCTCCTTCCCTTCTCCTTTCTTTCTCCTTCTCTTTTCCTTCCTCTGTCCTCCTCCTCGTCCATGTTTTTCTTCTGCATCTTTTTCTTCTCTCCTTTCTCTCCTCTTCTCAGTCTGCTCACCTTCTCCGGTTCCTGTTTTCCGGCTCTTTCTCCTTCCCTTCCCCTTGTCAATCCCCTCCACTCYATCTGCTCGTCTTTCCTTTCCATCTTCTCGGTCTTCTCGTGCTCTTGCTCCATTTCGTTTTTCTGCATCTTCTTCTCTTTTCTCTCCTCTCCTCCCGTGTGTCCCCATAACGGGGCCTGGGCCGCCAGCCTGTTTCATCGGACATTCTGCCCAGGATGCATTTGACGGATGGATAAGGACTCGCCGCGTTGCCCCTCGTGTGTGTGTGTGTGTGTGTGTGTGTGTGTGTGTGTGTGTGTGTGTGCGTGTTTGTCTGTGTGTGTGCGTGCGTGTGCGTGTGCG